GATGCCTGCTGCTGCTGCTGTATATTTGGAGTTTGCGTCTCTCTCATCATCATCACGGTGGCTAGATGTTGACTACCTCGCCTGGTGTGCAGGAGGTCGTGGGTTCTATCCTGACCCTGACGATGCCTGCTAGTGCTGCTGTATATTTGAAGTCTGCTTCTCTCATCATCATCATCACGGTGGCTAGGAGATGTTAACTACCTCGCCTGGTGTGCAGGAGGTCGTGGGTTCGATCCAGACCCTGACGCCTGCTGCTGCTGCTGTATATTTGGAGTGTCTCTCTCATCATCATCATCACGGTGGCTAGGAGATGTTGACTACCTCGCCTGGTGCGCAGGAGGTCGTGGGTTCTATCCTGACCCTGACTTCTGTTGCCACGGTTTTGTGCAGAGCCGTGACATAGCGCGGCGGGGAGCTTGACTCACAAAATAAAACGAAAAATTCGCATTTTCATTCGTTAACAAAGTCGTTTGCGGGGTATGAAAAGCTCTGCAACGAAAAAAAAATCCACCACCTGAACAGCGGCGTTCTTCACCCGTTTTCCTGGCAATTTTTATTTTGTTTTATGCCTAAGTGATCTTCTTGGTTCTTTCGGTAAAGTCACGTAGAATGAAAATAATGACATAAAAGAAATAAAAAATTTCCGTTTTATTTCTATTATTTTATTATTTTCATTCTACGTGCAAATAATAAAATAATGGAAATTAAAAAGTGCATGGGCAATTTTTATGGTTTTATTATTTCCACGTAGAATGAAAATAATAAAATAAAAATAAAAATTATACGTTTTATTTTTATTCTTTTATTCTTTTCATTCTACGTGGAAATAATAAAATAATAGAGATTGGGCACTGCATGGGTAATTTTTATTATTTTATTATTTCCACGTAGAATGAAAATAAAAAAATAAAATGGCGATGTTTTGTTTTTATTATTTTATTATTTTCATTCTACGTGGAAATAATAAAATAATAAAAAAATCCCCATTTGATGTTTTACTTTTTTTATTTTATTATTTTCATTCTACGTGACTTTACCGAAAGAACCAAGAAGATCACTTAGGCATAAAATAAAATAAAAATTGTCAAGAAAACGGGTGAAGAACATATAATGTTTTATTTTTATTATTTTATTATCTCCCTTCTACGTGATGACTTTACCGAACGAACCAACAAGATGAATCCCTGCTGCAGTCACGAAAGAAGCTTTAAATCGAAATTGTATTATGTTTTATTTTTATTACTTCCCTTCTACGTGATGACTTTACCGAACGAACCAATAAGATGAATCCCTGCTGCAGTCACGAAAGCTTTAAATCGAAATTGTATTATGTTTTATTTTTATTATTTCCCTTCTACGTGATGACTTTACCGAACGAACCAACAAGATGAATCCCTGCTGCAGTCACGAAAGCGCACTCCGCGGCAAGAATAAAAATTTGGTGTAGATTTAAAAAAATTTTTTTTTATAAAAATCAAACCGTTTGAACAACGCCGGTTCGGTGAACGTCTCCAGCTGGGACGCGTCGCCACCCCCCCCCACCCCCCCCCCCACCTGGGTCAGCGCGCCGGTCGGTTGCGCGACATCGGCCATCAGGAACCCCCGGCGCTGAGTCTCACCGGGAAGTTCCTCGCCGCTTGCCGTGCTGTTCTTCACCGTGGTGGGCGCCGTCGTGGTGGCGGCGGCGGCGGTGGTGGTGGCGGTGGCGGCGGTGCCGGTGGTGGAGTTGGTGCCGATGGCGGTGGTGGCGTTGGTGGTGGCGGTGGTGGCGGTGGTGGCGGTTGTGGCGTTGGTAGCATTGATGGTGGCGTTGGTGGTGGCGGTGGTGGCGGTGGTGGCGGTTGTGGCGTTGGTAGCATTGGTGGTGGCGTTGGTGGTGGCGGTGGTGGCAGTGGTGGCGGGGGTGGCGTTGGTAGCGTTGGTGGTGGCGTTGGTGCCGACGGCGGTAGTGGCATTGGTGCCAGTGGCAGTGGTGGCGTTGGTGCCGGCGGTGGTGGTGGCGTTCGTGCCAGTAGTGGTGGTGGCGTTCGTGCCAGTAGTGGTGGTGACATTGATGCCGATGGTGGTGGTGGCGTTCGTGCCAGTAGTGGTGGTGGCGTTCGTGCCAGTAGTGGTGGTGGCATTGGTGCCAGCGGTGGTGGTGACATTAGTGCCGGCGGCGGTGGTGGTGGCGGTAGCGTTGGCGCCCGCCGTCGTAGCGTTGACGCCGGCGGGAGGACTTGCCGAAGGCCCGGGCTCGGTTGCCGTAGAATTCCCCACCGGCTCTGCGCCGACCGGCACCGCTGCCGGCACCACCGGCACCGTGACATTCCCGCCCGCGGTAGAATTCCCGGCGGGCGCGCCGGGGTCGGCTTGGGCGATCGTCGTCGCCGGATTAGCCGGGCTGCTGGGGAGAGGCGTTGCCGGAGCTGACGATGGTGCTGGTGGTGGTGACGATGACGATGGTGGTGGCGATGATGATGACGATGGTGGTGGTGGTGACGATGACGATGGTGGTGGCGATGATGATGACGATGGTGGTGGTGGCGATGATGACGATGGTGGTGGTGGCGATGATGACGATGGTGGTGGTGGCGATGATGACGATGGTGGTGGTGGCGATGATGACGATGGTGGTGGTGGCGATGATGACGATGGTGGTGGTGGCGATGATGACGATGGTGGTGGTGGTGGTGGTGAGGTGGTGGAGGAGGAGGAGGTTGCTGATGACATCAGCAGGAGGAGGAGGAAGAGGGGTGACGAGGTGAGGTTGAGCAGCTGTGGAGCCATGTTGTGATCCTGCGGAGGACGGAGGTCCGCACAGCAATCAACAACAACGACGACGACGACAACAACAACAATCACACCGTTGACAACAACAACATCATCAATTTGAAGAACATCATCAACGTTTTATATCGATAGCAAATCACATCATCAACAACAGCATTGACAACAACAACAATCACACCGTTGACAACAACAACAACATCAATATGAAGAACATCATCAACGTTTTATATCGATAGCAAATCACATCATCATCAACGTTTTATATTGATAGCAAATCACATCATCATCAACAACAGCATTGACAACAACAACAATCACACTGTTGACAACAACAACAACATCAATATGAAGAACATCATCAACGTTTTATATCGATAGCAAATCACATCATCATCAACGTTTTATATTGATAGCAAATCACATCATCATCAACAACAGCATCGACAACAACAACTACAATCACACTGTTGACAACAACAACAACAACATCAATTTGAAGAACGTCATCAACGTTGGATATCGATAGCAAATCACATCATCAACAACAACAGCATCGACAACAACAACAACAATCACACCGTTGACAACAACAACAGCAACAACATCTTCAACGACAACATGAAGAACATCATCCACGTTTGATTTCAACAAGAACAATCACACCATCAACAACATCATCACCATCACCGCCATCACCGCCATCATCACCATCATCACCATCATCATCACTATCACCACCATCATCACCATCATCATCACCATCACCACCATCATCACCATCATAACCACCATCACCATCACCACCATCATCATCACCACCACCACCACCATCATCATCACTACAATCATCACCACCACCACCCTCACCACCCTCACCACCCCCACCACCATCACCCCCACCACCATCACCCTCACCACCACCCCCCCCTCACCACCCCCACCACCACCCCCACCACCACCCCCACCACCACCCCCACCACCATCACCCCCACCACCACCCCCACCACCATCACCCTCACCATCACCCTCACCACCTTCACCCTCACCACCCCCACCACCACAACCATCACCACCATCACCACCATCACCACCATCACCCTCACCACCATCACCCTCACCACCATCACCCTCACCACCCTCGCTACCATCACCCTCACCACCATCACCACCCCCCTCCCACCACCCCCACCACCCTCACCACCATCACCCTCACCACCCCACCACCCCCACCACCACCCCCACAACCCCCACCACCACCCCCACAACCCCCACCACCACCCCAACCACCACCCCCACCACCCCAACCATCACCCTCACCACCATCACCCTCACCACCCCCACCACCACCCCCACCACCATCACCACTACCACCACCACCCTCACCACCCTCACCACCATCACCCTCACCACCATCACCCTCACCACCCCCACCACCACCATCACCCTCACCACCACCACCCTCACCACCCCCACCACCACCCCACGACCCTCACCACCACCACCCTCACCATCACCCTCACCAGCCCCACCCTCACCCTCACCACCACCATCACCCCCACCACCATCACCACCACCCCATACCCCACCACCCCCAAACCATCACCCCCCCCACCACTCCACACCCCCACCACCACCCCCACCATCATCACCCTCACCACCACCCTCACCACCACCCCCATGACCCTCACCACCATGACCCTCACCACCATCACCCCCCCCCTCCCACCACCCCCACCACCATCACCCTCACCACCCCCACCACCACCCCCACCCCCACTACCACCCCACGACCCTCACCATCACCCTCACAACCCCCACCACAACCCCACCCACCCACCCCGCACCACCCCCCGCACCACCCCTCCCCCCACCACCCCCACCACGTCTGTCTGGTTTACTCATCAGACATGCATATTTCATGCACATATTAAATCACGCAGCCAGGCAAACCGGTTCTACCAGAGCCCCCCTCCAATTCAACTCTCTCTGTCTCTCTCTCTCTTCAAAATCAACCCCGTGATTCAGACGACAACAACAACAACCGCGGTGACGTCACCACGACGCTTGTGCCAGGCTAGGTGCACGTTGAGGCCACGTGAAGTGTCGAACGCCCGCCGGCAGGAGGTCACGAGGCAGACCCAGCAGGTGCCACGGGTCCACTGACTGAGATGACTGCTGACCGATGCACCACCTGTGCCCCCCTACTGTGCCAGGCTAGGTGCAGGAGGAGGTCACGGGGCAGACCCAGCAGGTGCCACGGGTCGACTGACTGAGATGACGACTGACCGATGCACCACCTGTGCCCCCCTACTGTGCCAGGCTAGGTGCAGGAGGAGGTCACGGGGCAGACCCAGCAGGTGCCACGGGTCGACTGACTGAGATGACGACTGACCGATGCACCACCTGTGCCCCCCTACTGTGCCAGGCTAGGTGCAGGAGGAGGTCACGGGGCAGACCCAGCAGGTGCCACGGGTCGACTGACTGAGATGACGACTGACCGATGCACCACCTGTGCCCCCCTACTGTGCCAGGCTAGGTGCAGGAGGAGGTCACGGGGCAGACCCAGCAGGTGCCACGGGTCGACTGACTGAGATGACGACTGACCGATGCACCACCTGTGCCCCCCTACTGTGCCAGGCTAGGTGCAGGAGGAGGTCACGGGGCAGACCCAGCAGGTGCCACGGGTCGACTGACTGAGATGACGACTGACCGATGCACCACCTGTGCCCCCCTACTGTGCCAGGCTAGGTGCAGGAGGAGGTCACGGGGCAGACCCAGCAGGTGCCACGGGTCTACTGACTGAGATTACTACTGACCGATGCACCACCTGTGCCCCCCTACTGTGCCAGGCTAGGTGCAGGTCCCCGTGTAGCCTCTAACTGACTGCTGGGGCAAGTGCTGTTAGCGAGCAGCACCACCATCCCCTAGATCGACTCAGACGTGAATGGGCACTTTTTAAATCCTTTATATTAAGTTCACTTGCTTGCTTGCTTAGGACCGTGCAAATCTTTCGGTCGTTTTTTAACCCACTTCCCGTGATCCAATCGAGCTGACATTTTGCACACAGACTCGTTGTGCGAGACAATTAATGTTCGTGAAAAAAAAATTCCAAAATTTTACACTGTTTAGGGAAAACAAATTAAATATTTAATTACCAATTGCTTAATGCTGGCAGACAATCATCTGACCCATAGGTGGCAGCCATCTCAAGCCAGAGGACGAGAGGACTCTAGCCGCTTTCGCATATAAAGAATTTAGAGTGAAAAACTTTGTTTTTACGGGTTAATTTTTCCTTGGTGCGCTGTGTAAAATCCCTGCATCAGAAGCCAGGCTCTGAATGAATCAATGCTGGCGATGCGATAACGAAAGGGGCTCGTGGTGGAGGTGGGAAGGGTTGGGATGTGTTACCAGTGCCAGATTATCGCAGTAGCACAAGTAGCTACGTGTTGTAGCAGTAGCTACGTATAGTAGCTGCTACTACACAGGTACGTGTAGTAGCAGCTACTAGTAGTAGTACTACTACACGTGTAGTAGTAGCTACACGTGTTGTTGTAGTAGCTACACGTGTAGTAGCAGCTAGTAATAGTAGTAGTAGCTACTACACGTGTAGTAGTAGCTACACGTGTTGTTGTAGTAGCTACACGTGTAGTAGCAGCTAGTAATAGTAGTAGTAGCTACTACTACACGTGTAGTAGTAGCTACTACACGTGTAGTAGTAGCTACACGTGTTGTAGTAGTAGCTACACGTGTAGTAGCAGCTAGTAATAGTAGTAGTAGCTACTACACGTGTAGTAGTAGCTACACGTGTTGTAGTAGTAGCTACACGTGTAGTAGCAGCTAGTAATAGTAGTAGTAGCTACTACACGTGTAGTAGTAGCTACTACACGTGTAGTAGTAGCTACACGTGTTGTAGTAGTAGCTACACGTGTAGTAGCAGCTAGTAATAGTAGTAGTAGCTACTACACGTGTAGTAGTAGCTACTACACGTGTAGTAGTAGCTACTACACGTGTAGTAGTAGCTACACGTGTTGTAGTAGTAGCTACACGTGTAGTAGCAGCTAGTAATAGTAGTAGTAGCTACTACACGTGTAGTAGTAGCTACTCCACGTGTAGTAGTAGCTACACGTGTTGTAGTAGTAGCTACACGTGTAGTAGCAGCTAGTAATAGTAGTAGTAGCTACTACACGTGTAGTAGTAGCTACTCCACGTGTAGTAGTAGCTACACGTGTAGTAGCAGCTAGTAATAGTAGTAGTAGCTACTACACGTGTAGTAGTAGCTACACGTGCAGTAGTAGCTACACGTGCAGTAGTAGCTACATGTGTAGTAGTACTACTACTGTTTTATTTTAGGGCCCCTTCATAACATAATGCTACAGGCACCGCACTAACTTACTCCGGCACTGGCTCACGTAACGGCTGACATATACACACGTATATTTATAAGAAAGAAAGATGATTATTATTATATCATAATACAAACAGAATGCGTGCATTGATTAGACGATGACAGAGTAGACTTCTCCCCACCCCACTGATTTGCGTATCTGCGCTGTTGATTCGCGGTGTCCCAGAGCGACCCCACTGAGATTGTTCGGTGTGGGCATGGCCGACTCGCCCTCACGTCTCCTACGTGTCTCCACAGGTGTCTCCGTGTCTCCCAGGTGTCCCCGTGTCTCTGTCTCACACAGGTGTCTCCGTGTCTCCCAGTTGCATCCGTGTCTCCCCAGGTGTCTCCGTGTCTCTGTCTCGCACAGGTGTCTCCGTGTCTCTGTCTCGCACAGGTGTCTCCGTGTCTCCCAGGTGTCTACCTGTCCCCAGGTGTCTACCTGTCTCCGTGTCTCCCAGGTGACTCTACAGGTGTCTCCGTGTCTCCCAGGTGTCCCCGTGTCTCTGTCTCACACAGGTGTCTCCACAGGTGTCTCCGTGTCTCCCCAGGTGTCTACCTGTCTCCGTGTCTCCCAGGTGTCTCCACAGGTGTCTCCGTGTCTCCCAGGTGTCTCCACAGGTGTCTCCGTGTCTCCCAGGTGTCTCCCCAGGTGTCTCCGTGTCTCCCCAGGTGTCTCCCAGGTGTCTCCCAGGTGTCTCCCAGGTGTGTACCTGTCCCCGTGTCTCCCAGGTGTCCCCGTGTCTCTGTCTCACACAGGTGTCTCCGTGTCTCCCCAGGTGTCTACCTGTCCCCGTGTCTCCCAGGTGTCTCCCCAGGTGTCTACCTGTCCCCGTGTCTCTGTCTCACATAGGTGTCCCCGTGTCTCTGTCTCACATAGGTGTCCCCGTGTCCCCGTGTCTCTGTCTAACGCAGGTGAGTTTCTGTCTCCGTGTCCCCGTGTCTCCGTGTCTCTGTCTAACGCAGGTGAGTTTCTGTCTCCGTGTCCCCGTGTCTCCGTGTCTCTGTCTAACGCAGGTGAGTGTCTGTCTCCGTGTCTCCGTATCCCCGTGTCTCTGTCTAACGCAGGTGAGTTTCTGTCTCCGTGTCCCCGTGTCCCCGTGTCCCCGTGTCTCTGTCTAACGCAGGTGAGTTTCTGTCTCCGTGTCCCCGTGTCCCCGTGTCCCCGTGTCTCTGTCTAACGCAAGTGAGTTTCTGTCTCCGTGTCCCCGTGTCCCCGTGTCTCTGTCTAACGCAGGTGAGTTTCTGTCTCCGTGTCCCCGTGTCTCCGTGTCTCTGTCTAACGCAGGTGAGTTTCTGTCTCCGTGTCCCCGTGTCCCCGTGTCTCTGTCTAACGCAGGTGAGTTTCTGTCTCCGTGTCCCCGTGTCTCCGTGTCTCTGTCTAACGCAGGTGAGTTTCTGTCTCCGTGTCTCCCAGGTGTCTCCGTGTCTCCCAGGTGTCTCCGTGTCTCCCACCAGGTGTCTGTCTCCGTGTCTCCCACCAGGTGTCTGTCTCCGTGTCTCCCACCAGTGTCTGTCCCGTGTCTCCCCAGTGTCTGTCTCCGTCTCCCACCAGGTGTCTGTCTCCGTGTCTCCCAGGTGTCTCCGTGTCCCCCAGGTGTAGTCTCCGCGTCTCCGTGTCTCTGTCTCGCACAGGTGTCTGTCTCCGTTCGTCTCCCAGGTGTCTCCCAGGTGTCTCCCACCAGGTGTCTGTCTCCGTGTCTCCCACCAGGTGTCTGTCTCCGTGTCTCCCACCAGGTGTCTGTCTCCGTGTCTCCCAGGTGTCTCCCAAGTGTCTCCGTGTCTCCCAGGTGTCTGTCTCCGCGTGTCTCGCCGGGCGTGTGACGAGCGAGCCGGTCGTGTCACTGGAGCTGCCGGTGGCGATGAGGAAGCGAGGCAACCCGGAACGAAGAATGTGGGGCGTGAGCACAGACTGGGGGTGCGTCTGTGTGTGTGTGTAGGTGTGTGTGTGTGTAGGTGTGTGTGTGTGTAGGTGTGTGTAGTTGTGTGTGTAGGTGTGTGTGTAGGTGTGTGTGTGTGTAGGTGTGTGTAGGTGTGTGTGTAGGTGTAATTGTGTGGTAGGTGTGTGTGTGGGGTGGGTGTAGGTGGGTGTGTAGGTGTGTGTGTGTGTGTGTAGGTGTAGTTGTGTGTGTAGGTGTGTGTGTAGTTGTGTGTGTAGGTGTGTGTGTAGGTGTGTGTGTAGGTGTGTGTGTAGGTGTGTGTGTAGTTGTGTGTGTAGGTGTGTGTGTAGTTGTGTGTGTAGGTGTGTGTGTAGGTGTGTGTGTAGGTGTGTGTGTAGGTGTGTGTGTGTGTAGGTGTAGTTGTGTGTGTAGGTGGGTGTGTAGGTGTGTGTGTAGGTGTGTGTGTAGGTGTGTGTGTGTGTAGGTGTGTGTGTAGGTGTGTGTGTAGGTGTGTGTGTGTGTAGGTGTAGGTGTGTGTGTAGGTGTAGTTGTGTGTGTAGGTGTGTGTGTAGGTGTGTGTGTAGGTGTGTGTGTAGGTGTAGTTGTGTGTGTGTAGGTGTGTGTGTAGTGGTGTGTGTAGGTGTAGTTGTGTGTGTAGTTGTGTGTGTAGGTGTGTGTGTAGGTGTGTGTGTAGTTGTGTGTGTAGGTGTGTGTGTAGGTGTGTGTAGGTGTGTGTGTAGGTGTAGTTGTGTGTGTAGGTGTGTGTGTAGGTGTGTGTGTAGGTGTGTGTAGGTTTGTGTAGGTGGTGTGTGTAGGTGTGTGTAGGTGTGTGTGTAGGTGTGTGTGTAGGTGTAGTTGTGTGTGTAGGTGTGTGTAGGTGTGTGTGTAGGTGTGTGTGTAGGGTGGTGTGTAGGTGGGTGTGTGTGTGTGTAGGTGTGTGTGTAGGTGTGTGTGTAGGTGTGTGTGTAGGTGGGTGTGTAGGTGTGTGTGTAGGTCTGTGTGTGTGTAGGTGTAGGTGTGTGTGTTGTTGTGTGTGTTTGTAGATGTGTGTGTGTGTAGGTGTGTGTGTGTGTAGGTGTGTGTGTAGGTGTGTGTGTAGGTGTGTGTGTAGGTGTGTGTGTAGGTGTAGGTGTGTGTGTAGGTGTGTGTGTGTGGTGTGTAGGTGTGTGTGTAGGTGTGTGTGTGTGTGTGTAGGTGTGGGTGTAGGTGTGTGTGTAGGTGTGTGTGTAGTTGTGTGTGTAGGTGTGTGTGTAGTTGTGTGTGTAGGTGTGTGTGTAGGTGTGTGTGTAGGTGTGTGTGTAGGTGTGTGTGTAGGTGTGTGGTGTGTGTGTAGGTGTGTGTGTGTAGGTGTGTGTGTGTAAGTGTGTGTGTGTGTAGGTGTGTGTAGGTGTGTGTGTGTAGGTGTGTGTAGGTGTAGGTGTGTGTGTAGGTGTGTGTGTAGGTGTGTGTGTGTAGGTGTGTGTGTGTGGGTGTGTGTGTGTAGGTGTGTGTGTGTGGGTGTGTGTGTGTAGGTGTGTGTAGGTGTAGGTGTGTGTGTAGGTGTGTGTGTAGGTGTGTGTGTGTAGGTGTGTGTGTGTAGGTGTGTGTGTGTAGGTGTAGGTGTGTGTGTAGGTGTGTGTGTAGGTGTGTGTGTGTAGGTGTGTGTGTGTAGGTGTGTGTAGGTGTAGGTGTGTGTGTAGGTGTGTGTGTAGGTGTGTGTGTGTAGGTGTGTGTGTGTAGGTGTGTGTGTGTAGGTGTGTGTGTGGGTGAGACTGGAGCGTGCCACTAGGAGGTGGGGCCTTACCATCAGCCCCACCAAAACTAAGCACCTGCCTGGGTATTTTGTCCTATCGGACACTCCACCCCCACAACTCCCAATCGGTGATGGGGCAGTAGTGGAGAGAGTGGAGAGTTTCCCACATCTGGGCAGTGTGTTCATGACCGGCTACGGTTTAACAGCAGAGGTCTCACTGGTACCAGCGGTGTCAAGATCGGCCTCTGTGGAGGAGGCTCGTGAAGGACGCTACTGGGCAGTTGGAGGCAGTCGCCCTCCAACAACAACGGAGGGCGGAGGAGCGACGCTCACAACAACGAGCGGAGCGCCGGGTGGCTAAAGCACAGCAAGTTGGCACAGTAGGGGGCACAGGTGGTGCATCAGCCAGTCATCTCGGTCAAATATCCCCCGTGTAGCCTTTGACAGGCTGTTGGGGCAAGTGCTGTTAGCAAGCACAGGCATACACACACACAGACAAAGATCCCCCGTGTAGCCTCTGACAGGCTGTTGGGGCAAGTGCTGTTAGCAAGCACAGGCATACACACACACAGACAAAGATCCCCCGTGTAGCCTCTGACAGGCTGTTGGGGCAAGTGCTGTTAGCAAGCACAGGCATACACACACACAGACAAAGATCCCCCGTGTAGCCTCTGACAGGCTGTTGGGGCAAGTGCTGTTAGCAATCACAGTTATACAGACAAAGACAAAGATCCCCCGTGTAGCCTTTGACAGGCTGTTGGGGCAAGTGCTGTTAGCAAGCACAGGCATACACACACACAGACAAAGATCCCCCGTGTAGCCTCTGACAGGCTGTTGGGGCAAGTGCTGTTAGCAATCACAGTTATACAGACAAAGACAAAGATCCCCCGTGTAGCCTTTGACAGGCTGTTGGGGCAAGTGCTGTTAGCAATCACAGTTATACAGACAAAGACAAAGATCCCCCGTGTAGCCTTTGACAGGCTGTTGGGGCAAGTGCTGTTAACAAGCACAGGCATACACACACACAGACAAAGATCCCCCGTGTAGCCTCTGACAGGCTGTTGGGGCAAGTGCTGTTAGCAATCACAGTTATACAGACAAAGACAAAGATCCCCCGTGTAGCCTCTGACAGGCTGTTGGGGCAAGTGCTGTTAACAAGCACAGGCATACACACACACAGACAAAGATCCCCCGTGTAGCCTCTGACAGGCTGTTGGGGCAAGTGCTGTTAGCAATCACAGTTATACAGACAAAGACAAAGATCCCCCGTGTAGCCTCTGACAGGCTGTTGGGGCAAGTGCCGTTCGTGGCGAGTAGCAAGCAGCACAATTTGTGAAATCTGGCACGACACGCTGGGGGTGAGGGGGGGTCCCTTGGCAATGGTCGCGCACATCCGGCCGCCTTTGTCTCCCCTAGTAGCGATGTTGCCTGACGTGACGTGTCGTATAACATCGCCACGGTTACAAAACCAACGCCTCCCACCGACACCACCCACACACCCCCCACACCAACCTACACACCCCCCACACAACCCACACACCGACCCACACACCCCCCCACACCAACCCACACACCAACCCACACACCCCCAACACCGACCCACACACCTCCCACACACCCCCACACCAACCCACACACACCCCCAACCAACCCCCACACCAACCCCCACACCCCCCATACACCTCCCACACACCTCCCATACACTACTACACATGTAGTAGTAGTTACATATGTAGTAGTAGCTACATATGTAGTAGTAGCTACTACAACATATGTAGTAGTAGCTACATATGTAGTAGTAGCTACTATATGTAGTAGTAGCTACTACTACATATGTAGTAGTAGCTACTACTACATATGTAGTAGTAGCTACATATGTAGTAGTAGCTACTACTACATATGTAGTAGTAGCTACATAAGTAGTAGTAGCTACTACAACATATGTACTACTACTACATATGTAGTAGTAGCTACATATGTAGTAGTAGCTACTACTACATATGTAGTAGTAGCTACATATGTAGTAGTAGCTACTACTACATATGTAGTAGTAGCTACATAAGTAGTAGTAGCTACGGGCCCCGCACTTTCTAGGGCCCCGCGCGAAACGCTTTCAAGCTATCAATTCCGGTTCAGTGATGCTGCACTTGCTCTATTGCTATAGTACTATACTGCCCTTCAACTTTGATGAACGACTGGGGTGGGGGGGGTTAAGCTTTCCAATTTGTCGTAATGTCTGGCTGTATAGCAAATGAAAAAAATACAAATACTTTACTGTGCAAGTAAAAACTTTGTCTGTTTAAATATTAAAGTGTTTTTTTTATGTCGGGCCCCTTCAAAACATAATGCTACAGTCACGTGGCCCTCCCCCGAGCCTCCAACAACTCGATCTCGACCGAGTTGTTGGTGCGTGGTGACAAAACAAACATCTTTCGATTTAAAGCTTCTTTCGTGACTGCAGGGATTCATCTTCTTGGTTCTTTCGGTAAAGTCACGTAGAAGGGAAATAATAAAATAATAAAAATAAACATAATAAAATACAATTTAAAGCTTCTTTCGTGACTGCAGGGATTCATCTTCTTGGTTCTTTCGGTAAAGTCGTCACGTAGAAGGGAAATAATAAAATAATAAAAAATAAAACATAATAAAATAATTCTCACGACGTTTCGGCCACAACGCAAGCAGCCGTCCTCAGGTGAAAACCAGGTCTGTCGAGGCGACAGCGCTGACGCCTCGACAGACCTGGTTTTCACCTGAGGACGGCTGCTTGCGTTGTGGCCGAAACGTCGTGAGAATTATTTAATTCTGTTTTATTATTTTATATTTTATTATTTCCTTTTGTGAGAATTGTATTTTGTTATTTTTTTAATTTTATTATTTCCCTTTGTGAGAATTGTATTTTATTATGTTTCAATTTTATTTTATTATTTCCCTTTGTGAGAATTGTATTTTATTAAGTTTTATATTTTTTATTTTATTATTTCCCTTTGTGAGAATTGTATTTTATAATGTTTTATTTTTTGTTATTTTATTATTTCTTTTTGTGAGAATTATATTTTATTAAGTTTTATATTTTTTATTTTATTATTTCCCTTCGTGAGAATCGAATTTTATCAAGTTGTATTTTATTATTTTTTTATTTCCCGTCGTGAGAATCGCATTTTATCACGTTTTATTTTCATTGTTTTATTACTTCCATTCTACGTGACGACTTTACCGAAAGAACCAAGAAGACAAAACGAACATCGCCACGAGGGAGAGACAAGGCGGGTTGCTGGCCACTCCACCGCACCCACTCCGTGTGGTGACTCCAGCCTTCGTATAAGT